GAAGAAACGCCCGGCGCCTCGAGCACATGAACTGGCTGCACCTCCTGGTCATTGGGCGCCAGCACCAGATCAATGCAGGTGCCAGAGGAAAGCGTAGGCACCGAGGGGTTCCAGGCCAGGAGCTGAGCAGAACCCAACAGGGCTTCAATTGCACAGTCCTCAGCTGATGGGGCACGATGCGCACACCTGCACCCTGGCTCATGCCGGAGGACCTGGGACAAGTGGATATTAGCATCGCCACACACGAGGAAAAGAGAGCTCGGATATCCCGCCCTAAGCTCCTGCAGGGAGTGCAGAATAAACAACCATGTGTTTACATTGCCACCAGGAGCCGGATAGCAAGCACAAAAAACGAGGAGTGGCGTGACAGCAGACGCGCTGTCATCCCAAATAGCAAACCATTGAGACCGCGGGCCAGACAATTCCGCAATCGGCCGCAGTGCACAAGAGAGCTCCGTGCGTACGAAAACACCAACGGCCCCCCACTCCGTCGAACGTACCCCCAGCCACACATACGGAAAGCCAGGCGGGAGACACGCGCCAGGCGGAAAGCGGGCACCTGGCAGCACGCAGATATCCACCCCGCGCGCTACAAGTGCGTGCCGCACGGCCTCCAGCCTCCAGTCCCACAACGCATCCGTGCCCAACGCAATGAAGCCCGTTCTGCCTGGGTTGGGGGTGGCAAAACACAAAGGGGAGCCGGGGTCCGGAGCAGGCGGGCTTCTCGCTGCGAAAGCTGAGGCTTCAGTCTCTGAAATGTATCCCGCAGATGGGGACGCGATGGGGCGCTGGAGGGGGCCCGCCTCATGGAGGGGTGGCGCGACCTCCTCCCTAATGAAACGGCGGAGAGCAGGCACGATGGTGGCGAGATGCTCGGCCGAGGGCCCCGTCTTACTTACTAGCGCCGGCGGGAGGGCAGGAGCACACCATTGCAGCGCCCGCACGTCCTTCAAGGCCGCGGCACGCTCCAAGGGGTGGTTTTCACTCCCCAACCACCGCGTGACCGCTGTGCGCAGGCTGTCCGCCTGAGGTCCCATCGGGCCCCTGGCACTCAGGCACTCGGGGGCGGATCCGCGCGGGCCGGGATATGTCACACTTGAGCCAAGGGCCGCGCGGAGTCGAGCCCTGGCGGTTGGCGGCCCCCGCCAGTGCTCCAGCGGACTTGGGGCAGAGGGGCAGAAGCGGAGCAGAGAGAGGGCTAGGCGGGGCCACGTGATGCGCGCATGTCACGCTAATGACGACAACAGACAGGGGGGACAAGAGCAAGGGACGGGGCGAAAGCAGGAAGGAAGGAGGGAAGGCAGGGCACGGAGCAAGGGGGGGGCAACGACGGACGACGAGGACGACGACGACGACAACAACAACGACAACCACCTTGCTAACAGGGGGTGAAATAAATCTCTGGTAGGGAGGATTCGATGACACCCGCCCCCCGGCACGGGTCAGCCGGGGGCTGCCCGACCGGCGGCCGGCGTCTTTGGCAGTCATCTGGCAACCGTGGTCAAACATCCGTGCACACAGAGGCGGATCGTAGCACCGGTAAGAGCAAGTCAGGCGGGATGATAGGGCAACGGCACGAACGGGCGGGAGCACTGGCGCACGCTCTTTTTCCGCCTGCCCAGCACGCTGGGCCCGGTACATGAAAAGATGAGGTGTTAATACTGGCAAGGCAAAGCAGGCCGCCCAATTAGCACTCGAACCCTAATCCATAAGGCAGCAAGTGCGCGAGGTATTGCGCGCAACGTCACGCGCTTTTAGGCTTCAGGGGGCCGAACGGGAAAAAACAACTACGACAACTACTACAGGTTGCGCACCACTCACTCAGATGCTAGACCCAACCGATCCTGACACTCTCACTGATACCGCGGCAAGGGGGGGCCCCCACCGGCCGGCGCTGCAGCGGGAGCGGCGACAGCGGCCGAGCCAGGGGCCCCAAGGGCCTGCCGGGCAGACAAGCGGGCTGGCGCAGCAGCGGATACCAACTCTGCGCGAGGCTCCGGGACGCTGGGCACTACCGACTGGACGGGCCCGAAGAGGTACAGGAGCTCCTCAATGTGTTCTGAGATAACGGTGCGGCAAGCCCTCACCAAGACCCTGCCCGCTCCGCGATTGACGAGCTGGAACATCATGGTCTGCTTGGGGCTCAAGCTCCACGTGACTTCAACTGCGGGCTGCGTGTTACCACCCCTCGGAACCCCACACGGCGCCGGGTGCGACGGCTTAGACTTGGGGGGGGGGATGTGGACGCCGAGAGCGACCATGACGTTGTGCATGTCAACCTCTGAGTGGCACTGGGTAGCAAATGTCAGGACGAGCTTGACGGCACGCTTGTTTCCCACCGCCTCATGGGCCTTAGCAAGCCAGGCGGTGTGAGCCGACTTGGCCTCATCCCAGGTGGACAGCTGCGCGTACACACGCGGGTCCACGCGCGCTCCTGGGCGCACAACACCACCCGGTGGGCGCACCGTGCCCAAGGCAAGGGGTGCGGCTGGGGCGCCCGCGGCGCCCAGGGGAGGCACCATTGGGATGGGCACGGCACCCGGGGCAAGGTGCACTGCCGGGGCCGCAGCCGGCGCGGGTGGAGCACCCGCGAGTCCTGGGTGCCACGGCGCAGGTTCAGCAGGGCCGGCCGTAGGACCAACTGGGGCAGCCGCTGCGCGGTCTGCCGCCAAGAAGGGGGGGGGCCGAAGACAAGTTCTGTTGGGGCGCAGCGGTGGTGGCCTTGGCGCGAAGGGCATGCTCATTCAAGTGGACCCGTAATTCCTGGAGGCGTCTCAACCTCTGGGCAACCTCCTGCGGGATGTCACGAACGATGAGGTTGGATGTAGTGTGCAGCCACACGCGGTTGCCGGAAGCAGGACTGTGAAGCTCCTCCCACGGCCCGCGGCGGGCCTGGAGCTCCTGGAACTCCCTTTTCATATCCTCGAGCGTCGGCTGTCTAGGGGGCCCGGCCGCAAGCTCCACTGGTGGGCCGAGCCGAGGGTCTCGCACGTCACCCGGGTGGTCCCACTGGCTGATTCCCGAGGCACAAGGCCTGAAGTAGAGCGCCCCACTTAGCGCACGTCGCGCTTCCCACCCAGGCGGGAGGGGCGGCGGGCTCGTAGGCGGCGGTCCTGGAGGAGGGCTGCTGTTGCTCCCTGGCGGTGGGTGGCGCCCTCGGCGGAGTGTGGGGCATGGACGGCTGCTGCGGCGGCGGTGGCGGCGGCGGCGGCTGCGGCGGGAGCTGCTGCAGCGCGAGCCCGACCGTTGCGCCCTCGAAAGCGACAGCGGGCTCCCTCACGGGGGGCTGCGCTCTCACCGTTAGGGCATGATCCCGATGCACACGCTGGGGCGATATGCCTCTCCAACCCAGCGGAGCGCCGAAGACGCCGGGGGGTGGGCTGCCCGGCGGGAGGGGGGGCGCAGGGGGCCGCTGGGGCAGCACTTGCACTAGCATCCCCGCCCTCAGCGGGGGCCTTCTCCGTCGGAGCAATAAATGGCACCGGGCTGCTCGAACTGGGGCTGCGCTGGCTGGCGCGGCGCCTGCGGCGGCTAGGTGTCCGCGAGTCAGCGCGGCGCCTATGGCGGCTGACAGGGCTGCGCTGGCTCCAAGAAGGCCGGCGGCGGTGGTCCCGCCCCCGGGAGCGGGAGCGACTACTGTCCCTCGGCATTTTCTATCCTTGAGCCCCGTGGCTCCCAACAAAGCCGCAGTGGCATGAGCGTGCGAGGGTAAGGCCGACATCCTCCCAACCTGCGACAACGTCACAGGCGACAGCACGTCGGCATACCCAGCCACGCTGACCATGTGGGGCATGGACATGACAACGGCAACGACGACGCCCGCCCCCTCCTGGCCAGCCCGCCAGCCAGGGGCTGCCCGACAGACAGCCGGAAGCATATGAGCACCACAATATAAAACAAGGACGTCCAGTGGAGCACAGGACGGGGGGCAGCACAACATGGCACGACGCGGCGGGGCAGGGCACGACCAACGACACAGCACCGGCACAGCCCATCATCAGCATCATCATCAACATCAGCATCACCATGATCATCATCAGCAGCAGCAGCAGCAGCATCACTACCACCACCGTATTCATCATAATCATCATCATCAGCATCATCAGCATTATCATCATCACCATCATCAGCATCATCAGCATCATCAGCATCATTATCATCTTCATTATCATCCTCATCCTCATCCTCATCCTCATTATCATCCTAATCCTCATCATCATCCGCATCCTCGTCAGCATCATCAGCAGCATCATCAGCAGCATCATCAGCAGCGTGATCATCATCCTCGTCATCGTCATCATCATCATCATCATCATCATCATCATCATCATCATCATCATCATCATCTTCAGCATCAGCATCATCAACATCATCGTCAGCAGCATCTTTATCAGCAGCATCATCAGCATCATCATTATCATCATCACCATCATCAGCATCAGCATCATCGGTATCGCCTTCTTTGGTAATCCACGATGACGACAAAACTTGCCATTATTCATGATCGAGTCCTGACTATATGTTACACTTGAATTCATAATCATGGTGCTAGCCCTCCAACTACGGCTGCGGTATTGCCAATCTTGACAATGCCACCATTGTATGTATGTATGGATTCGCTCTCCATGCGACTAAAAATGTATACCACCTTGGGGAGAAGTCTATACAAACAGACAGAGAGTCCAAGAACAGCGCACGTCATATACATAAAATGTCGGAGATCCGCGCTGATTTCTTGGATCGCGGCTGACCCCCCTCCCTGCCGCGCGGAGCGCGCCAGAGGCGGTGCCAGAGGCGCCGCCAGGCGAGCCCCCTGGCCGTTCCAAGAAATCGGCGCAACTCCGAAAGCTGATGCATATGACATGGTTTCTTCCTCGAGAGACATGTCTCATTGATCACCCTTGCCTGCGGATTGCGCGGAGCGCGGATACTTCCCCTGACATGCCACTACCAGACGGACTCTTCACCACCTGCCTCAGTCCGTCTGCGCGGGCCAGGGCCTTGAAAGCGTGGGGGCCGAACTTCCCAGCGCGGCCTCCGCAGCGGACAGCGCAAGCGGGAGGCGGGCATGGAGTTAGGCAAGGAACTGACATCAGAGTGCATGATTCACCCTCGCTGCCGAGCAAAATGAGGGGGCCACAAAATAGGCGGACAAAACACGATTGAAGAGAACCAACTGTTCAGCAATCGGGCGCCCCTGTCCCAGGGCCGCTGGAAAGGCTTTGTTCCCCTTCGGAGGCACTCGGGGTCCTTCATGAGCTTTCCAGTGCCCCTAATGGCAGAAAATGTGTCATGCTGGCCCTCGCCAGCTAAAAAAATCGAGTCGGCAAATCGGATCGACGCAAAAGGCGCGTCGGATCGGGCTGCATCGGCATAAACTCGAAATTGAGTCCGATCGGCTGCGCCAGGGTGGACAACAGCGCGACGCAGGCGTCGGGCCGCACCGCGCCGTCGGGAAATCGGAATCTCATCGAATCGGGCTGGCCGGAGCACATCGCATCGCATCGATCGGATCGAAATGGGGGGGAGGGGACCAGGCGGCCACACCCCGGGCGCGGCAGAACGTGCGGGGCGCCCGGCAGGACAGAAGCCACGAGGCAGGGGCGGCACCGCGCGCGCAGGCGTGCGCGCCCAGCGCCCCCACTGCCCACTGCGAGGCCAGCGCGCTGCGGCCGCCTGAGGAGACACGCGCGCGACACGCGCGACAGGCTGCTGGCGGGCAGCTGGAAGGCACGGAACCCGCAGAAGACGTGCCCGCCCGGCCGAGTCCGGGGGCGAGGCCCCCCGTCCGCGAAGCCACGTCGTGTCATCACCGCTCGCGCAGCGCGCACCCCCGAAGCCCACGAAAATTTCGTGCACGAGCACCGCTGGCCCCGCAGAGGCCCTGGCGCAGCCGAGGCCGCCGGCCGCCGCCAGAGGAGCCAGAGCCTCCATCGCACGAGCGCCGTGGGCAGAGCACGTGCGCGCACGGCGGCGGGACGTGGGGCACAGCGGCAGGCACGGGAAGGGCCTCCGAGTGCACGGGTTCCCCCGGGGCCGTGGGCGACCCGAGGAGGAGGAGGAGGAGGAGGAGGAGGAGGAGGAGGAGGAGGAGGAGAGGAGGAGGGAGGAGAGGAGGAGGAGGAGGAGGAGGAGGAGATGGAGAGGAGGAGGAGGAGGAGGAGGAGGAGGAGGAGGAGGAGGGGGAGGAGGCGATGGAGGAGGAGGAGGAGGAGGAGGAGGAGGTGGAGGAGGAGGAGGAGGAGGAGGTGATGAGGAGGGGAGGAGGAGGAGGAGGAGGAGGAGGAGAGGGGGGGAGGAGGAGGAGGAGGAGGAGGAGGAGGGGGAGGAGGGATGGAGGAGGAGGAGGAGGAGGAGGAGGAGGAGGAGGATGGGTCGCCTAAGCCCTTCGGAGAAACCCTCCACCTCCGAGAGTGCTCGGACCCGCTGCTTCGGGTCCGGCCATCGCAGAGATCGAGCGAGCCACGCGCAAGGCGGTAGCAACTTCTGACAACAGATGCGCGCGCGCGCCTGCGTGAGCCCCGCCTCTCTCTCTCTCTCTCTCTCTCGCTGTCTCTCCCGCTCCTCCCTTCCCCCATCGGGGCTGAAATTCGACCAGATCCGAGCTGTGGCAACGTCGGCGCTGGTGCCTGACACCGTTCGGATCGCTCGACCTTGAGGAAGCGTGGCGTTCCGATGGCGCACATCGTTCGATGTCGGCTGACTCTGGGGGCGGCGTTCATCGGGGACGTACTGACCAGGGTCGATGCAAACCAGGGTCAGGCAGGCCTGGCAGGATACTGCAAGATCCTGCACACAAACCCGGGTCAGTACAGTCCTAGCCCAGCAGGATCCTGCAAAATCCGGCGCTCTGACTGACCCCCGTTTGCATTGACCCCGTCTCTTGAGCCCCGAGTTCAGGCTTGAGCGTCAGAGCCGGGGTCGCCGCCGAGTCGACGCGGCGCGCGAACCTGCCGTGCACACTCCGCTGGCGCCTGTGCGCGTTCTCACTCCGCTGGCGCCTGCCCGCGGCACGGCCTGCTCTACCCACGGCATGGCCCGGAGGTTTGCCGCCCCCTGCTCCCCGCGCGCCGAGCGCCCTCGGCTCGCGGCGAGGGCGCCATCTCCGCTCCGCGCGGGCCCTTCCTGGACGGCGCCAGCTGTGGTACCAGGCCCGCTCGACGCGCGCGTCCGCGCGTGCTGGCGCGCGGCGGCAGCGTGAGCCCAGTGGTCTGGTGTGCACCGTCGGCGTCGCCCAAGCCTGAGAGGAGAAGCCGACGGAAAACATCTGGATCGGCGGACCCCAGGGCGGAAAACCTCGGAAAACCTCCGGAGGGCGGAAAGCTCGGAAAACCTCGGAAAACCTCGGAAAACCTCTGGAGGGCGGACCCCAGGGCGGAAAACCTCGGAAAACCTCGGAAACCTGGGAGGAGAAGCCGACGGAAAACCTCCGGAGGGCGAGTCGACGAGCGGACGACCGCCTCTGCGGACAGGCGCCGAGGCCCAGCGGAGACCCCGGCGAGCGGGGCCGTGGCCTCGGACGTCCACACGTCGGTCGGAAGAAGTAGGTAAAAACATGAAGTAGGACGGCGGATTAAGTTGACTGGGTCCAGGCCCCCACAGAGAATAACAGAACACAGCAAAAGCGTGTCGACTCTTGAAGTAGGAAGGCGCTTGAAATAGATTGGGATCTGGGATTCCAAAAAAAACCTACTTTCAACGACCGGCGTGTAACCTGCCTAGAGAAGACGCCTGGCTGCACACCACGGCCGACGGATGAGACGCCAGTGCAGGCTCACGCGGCGAGGCGCACGTGCCCGTGCCCGCTTGGGCGAGGCGCGCACGAGGCCGTAGCCTCTCGGACCCTGCAGGCGTCCGACGCATTCCTGGACGCAACGAACATGTGATGATGGGGAGGGAAGGGAGGCGGCGTCGGTATAGACTTTTTGATTCGCGGGTCGAGAGAGCACCTCTTCCGGTCGAAGCCAAGCGGGCCGCGCGAAGTCTGACTTAACAAAGAGGGGGGGACAGGAGGAGCGCGGCCTCACGGGGCGTCGGCATAGACGAGCGGGTAAGATGGAGGATGGAAGTCGTTTCGGGCCGGTAGAGACGAAACTGCCACCGGCCCGCACAGCAGGCAGCGCGACTCAACTCTGACTCCGCAGCGCACGGGCGGTCCGCAGCGCACGGGCGTCCAGGGCCAGCATCCCGAGAGGTGCCTGCACGGCAGCTGCGCACTCCCTGCGACCAAACAGGCTGCGCCTGTGCTCTCCTGCTCACCCCCTCCTCCCACTGTGGCCTGCTGCCTGCATCGAGCGCGGCACGCGCCCAGCAGTGGCTTTACCGCTGGAGTCTTGTCGCGGATCCCCGAGCTCCGAACTTCGAAGTCATCATCCCGGTCATCCTCTCTCTCTCTCTCTCTTTCTCTCTCTATTTCCTGTCTTGACGTGTGCTGTCCTCACGCTGGCAAGCTGACGAGATGTTTGCCCCATGGTGGCTCAACCTTGTCCTTTCCGTGTCGCGGTGCGCTGTCTCCTCAGTTGCTGCGGGGCGTTGCCGGGCACCCGCCCAAACTTATTACCAGCACGGTTGCTTTGCACCCGGCCCACGCACGCGCAAACGCTTCCTGAAACTCAGCTGAAGGCAGTGCAAAGTTTTCCTATCGTTCCGTCAACGCTGCTGCCAATACGCAATCTGACGCGCGGGAGCAGGAGGACGGACACTCGCGCAAGCACGCCGAACCAGGGAGCGCCCCGAGCCATCCGCGTGGAGGCGCTGCGGAAGAGTGGCACCTCCACGAAGCCAGAGGACCAGAGGTAAGCCGGCCAGGAGGCGAGGCTAGCCGGCAGCGATCTGGGCCCTCGCCGGCAGGTGCGGCCTCCGCTCGTCCGCAACAGGCAGCAGGAGCGACCGTCACTGGCCAGCCCAAGGCCATACCGCTTGCTGCCAAGAAAACACCAAAAAAGACAACAAAATTAAACAACTAACAAAACAAACATGAGCACCAACCACACTTGCGAGCTCCCACACTTGCCAACCCCCCCCCGAAGCTAGGAAACGAGACTGCAGGGCAAGTATGCCCAGCACGTGCAGCATCAGGAGGCAGAAACATGCACACGGTAATGGCATACAGACATGGTATTGAAGGAGCGGCCCTCACAAGCCAGAGTCTGAACAAGAACTACTCCTCATCCTCCTCATCCCCCTCCTTTTCCTCCTCTTACTCAGCATCATCATAACAATCCTGAGCATCATCGTCCTTCTCATTGGCTGAGCGTAATCATCGTCATCATCATCGTCATCGTCGTTATCATCGTCGTCTCCCGCCCACGTTCCCATTAGCCATCATCATGATGTTAAGTGTGTTAATCCTCTTCTTCTTCTTCATCATCATCAGAATCATCAGCATCATTATCAGCAGCATCCTCAGCATCAGCATCATCAGCATCAGCATCATCAGCATCATCATCATCAGCATCATCATCATCATCATCATCATCATCATCATCATCATGTGCATCAGAACATCTGTATCATCATCCGAATCAGCATCATCATTAGTATGGTTATCATCATCCTCATCTTCCTCTTCCTGCTCCTCATCCTCCTCTCAATCAGCATCAGTGACGTCAACATCGTCATCATCATCGCCGTCAACATCACCATAAGAATGGTCATGGTAGCATGATCATGAGCGTGGTCATCATCATCAGCAGCAGCAGCAGCATCATCACCACCACCATCATCATCACACCCATTCCACCCATCCGGCCCCTCTTCCACCTGCAACGCCTCTCCCTCCTCATCCTCCCCTAACTCGTACGGCGCAGCTCCTGCCTTTAAAATGTGTATGCTTCAACGTTTGGGCCTCTGGAGAATCGACATGGCGGCGGCATGCACAGACACCTGGTCTGGGTTTTACAGGCATCTCTAGACATCGCTCAAGGTCCCCAAAGTCTCTGGAGATCCCTAGGGAGACCTCGAGAGCTCGAGAGGCCTCTAACGACACGCACACGCACACAGTCACACACATACACTTTTAGCGTCGCGACCACAC